TGTGTAGCAGGCAAGATGGCGCTATCTTGTATTCGCAATGATTGCTGTTGTCACGCAACTCTTGCTTTGGATCACATGATACATGAAAGTGATCTTAGTTCAGTGTTGCGAATGCAAAGGAAACGAACAATGAAGTCAATGCTCTTTCTTCTGTTCCTTGGTTGTGTGCTGTATTTCCAGCCGACGACATCAGAGTATGTCCGTGGATGTTACTATACCGACTGGTCCCAGCATCGATCTAAAGGTGCAACCTTCCTACCTGAAGATATCGATCCTTTCCTCTGTACTCATGTAATGTTTGCCTTTGCCCAAATCAACCGAACCACTCACACACTGAGGATCAAAGAACAAAATGATCACGACTTGTACAGAAGGATCAACGCACTAAAGAAAGTCAACCCAAAGCTGAAGACACAACTTTCTGTCGGCGGATGGGGTCAAGACCAAAAAGACAGCCCGTTTTCCAAGATGGTGGCGACGAAAGAGAAACGTGCGATCTTCATCAAATCGTCTATCGACACCCTGAGGAAGTTTGGTTTCAATGGTTTAGATCTCGACTGGGAGTACCCAGGCATGGGTGGAGGCTCTCCCAAGGGTGACATAGGACGATTCACTCTCCTGTGCAATGAACTGAGAGCTGCGTTCGAAGCTGAAGCCAAGATTTCTGGAAAGGAACGTTTGCTTTTGACCGCAGCAGTAGCAGCAAAATTTTCGGTTATCGAAGAAGCGTACGACATTGCGGGCATTGCAGTACCTCTTGACTGGATCAACCTAATGACTTACGATTTTCACGGTTTGAACGACAACAAGACCGGACATCACACTGCTATGGGACCGGACGGTGACAAGCTAACCGTTCCTTTCGCTGTCTGGTACTGGATGAACAACAGAGACATCTGGGAGAAGCCGGGCATCTTAGACGGAATGCCAGCCAACAAGATAGTGCTCGGTCTGGCCACGTACGGACGCTCATTTGGCCTAGCGAACCCATCGATGCACGGTCTAGGAGCGCCACGTGATTTCCAGTACACCCCCAAAGGCCAATACTTGGGCGCTGTAGGCGTTCTTGCATATTTTGAGATTTGCAAACGGGGACTAACAGTTGTGGAAAAGAACAAAGCCATGGCTCCATACGGTTACAAGGATAAGGACTGGGTAGGATTCGACAACCCGAAGAGTTTGATTTACAAGATTGATAATGTGTTAAAGAAGAATTCCCTCCGTGGTGTTATGTTCTGGGAGCTTGGCCTGGACGACTTCTCAGGACAGCATTGCGGACAAGGCAAGTACCCACTGATGAATGCCGTAAAGAAGTATCTCACATCTGGAGTGCAGCCAACATTTCCCCCAGAGACCCAAACCTCGCTGACAGGCAGCTCAATATCTAATAACGACTATGGCTCCTCCCTAACCTACTAACAGCAATAGAGATAGTGGCCCCGGGGTCTGCAAGGCGAAATGGATGCGTGGTGCGTTGCTAACTGTGCGGTCAGTAACTACCCATCTAACATGTGAGAACTGGTCAACAAGCCTGACTGACGTTGCCGTGTGTCTGTTTAGTAATTGATTACAGGTGACGTCAAAATGTTGCAAGAGGCGATAGCCGAGTGTGTCACTGATGTTCTTACCGCATATGACCTCTACTGTGATCAACTTCTGAACAGACGCAGCTATTTGTTTTATATAATATGGAAAAAGTGTTAAAGACGTCATCAATGCGTCTGTCCTCCAATTGATCATAAGTAAGAACCGATCAAAAGGCGGAAATAATTTGATTGATTATATGATGTCTCAAGCTATAAAGCTGTAAAGAACCAGAAGAACTGAAGCATCCAGTCATAATAAAATGGAAGTGTCAAAATAATTATTATAATCTTTTAATTATTTTAATACTGATATGATATTTTTCTATGTGTTATTAAATACCTGTAAACTAGCTGATGAGCTGCGCAGCCTTTGGCCTTTTGTGGCGTCTCATTCTTATTATATAGCTAAGCGTATTCACACAATAAACTTGAGTGTTGTTTTTCTCATTTGTTCTCCCTTCTATATGTTTATGGCATGTTAAAACCTCGAAATAATTTTCCCTAACACTCATCGAATGAAGTCTTTCTTCCTTTACAAGAACATGTACAAAGCAAGCTGTTGGGACTGTGATGATTTTTACGTAGGAAATGCAAAGCGTCGATTGTTTTTGAAGTTTTCAATTTCAACAGGTCACGATCCGATATATATACATTGTGTAATAAAGAATACATTTACATTTGCCTTGAATGAAAACGTTGACAGTGAGAAACGTTTTCTATACAAGCTTGGATTTTACCTGATTAGCCGTCCCTTTATACACTGACAGCTTAACGGTCACTTCCGAAGATGTACGTAGTTTAAAGCTTCATACCAAACGCCAAGTTTCTTAAATCAAAGTTCTCCCAACTGGGTTGTTCAGTCATGTTTGCCACGGTCAGGGTCGGCCATGGGGGGTAGTTGTATACCAATATACCTGAAGAGACTGAAAACCCCATTATACCCAAAATTTCCCGTCAAATGCATCCGAAACACCCAAATTTGGAAAAACAAGGTATATTTTAAGGCCCAATTTTGGCGTTAAAATACCGTATACTCGATTTAAAAATCCCCCTATATACCGTATACCCAAAAACCCTGGCCGACCCTGAACAGTTGTATTTGTATTCCTATTGAATTTGAAATGGCCGAAGAATAAGAGTCTTCGTTTTGTTTTGCCTATGTAAAGATTTATTTTGCAAATTCAGGAACCAGCTTTGCAGATAACTTTAGACATTTGAGAGCGTTTGCAGGCGGTCCTTGTTTATAGAAAGGTATATTTGCAACAATGCAAGCGAAGGAACAAATTCGGAAGCAACGATAGCTCATGCTGGGCACCGGATGAGATCAGTCATTTTGTATAGACCTTATCACTGTTTTGGAAGCCATCTTGACGGGCAGGCAACACGTCACCGACAGAAATGGCAAATAATTCTTAAAAGTCGAATTCTGAACAATTTATGAACAGCAAAGTTAAGATAATAGACAAAAAGTTCCATTAACCTAATTTGAGGGATGTATCTGGGCTAGAAAGTGTCCAGTCCTGTTTTGGATTTCCCATATATTTGTCCCCGAATTTTTTCCTCGTATACCTCTTATTACAAGTTCAGGCCATTTCTTAACCAAGATGGCTTCCAAAACCGTGACAAGGGCTAAAAAACCCTCCGGGTAATCGATGTCATGAGCGTGTTGCAGAGCTTTGTTGGGGCAGAGTTTCACAAGGATATATCAGTCGCAATCCTCCCTTAAAGATCTTCAAAAATTCTGCTGCAAAATGGTTACCCTCTTGGTATTATCGCGTACAACGAAAGCAAGGCAAACAACCCTGTTCCAACAGTTCCAAAAGCTATCATTATTCTATTACATGTATTTTACTTGGGTCTTCATAGCAACTAAATCGCCAAACGTCTGAATTCTTATGCATACAACTTCTACTCTTTCGTCAACCTCAAGATTCAGTATATTTCAGAATACACGCCACATCAAAACTGTCTTCCCTTCGTAAACGGACCGCCTGGACCCCACTCTCAAATGTCTCCAGTTATCTACAAAGCTAGTTGCCGAGATTGCACTGGATTTTACACAAGCAAAACAAACCTTCAAGAAATTCACGACAGAAGAACTGCACATTTCAAGGCCCTCGCTACAAGTGACCACTCATCAGCCATTGTTGTTACAACATAAAATGCGATCATTTTGACATTTCCAATTGTAGCCTGATCATGAATGTAGATGTCAACTATTTCCCGCTTTCACGCGGAGAAAAACATCGTAGACGTCTTCACACAGGGTAGGCAAAACCGACTTTCGTTGTAAAATTAAGAAAAATTTGCTCGTTTAAATAATGAAGCAATCTTGAAATGTCAACGTAAGCAGTAAGAAGTTTAGGAACACTTTTAATTACACATTGCCTCTTGTACGAATAATTCCTTTATTTCGGTATATTTAAGTTCAAATGGATTCTTATAATACGTTCTTGAATTATTCCTATTCTGACACGTGTGAAAAATTTGGTATTCATGTAACTTATAAGGTCACCTTCTTGTCTCGTTTTACCTTACTGTGCTTCTTGTACGTACAATGTATTATGTAATATTCCTTAGTTTTTAGTTTTTCTCGAGTCTTCTGTTTTGCCATTCTTGTTACTTGAAAATAATTTTATCCTTGTAATATTAAAATTACTTTATCGCTCTTGTTGTTTCATTTTAGCCAGATTCTTTTGGAATCATATTGAAAATTTGGAAAGGAAATATTTTTGACTGTGTTGACTTCGTCGAAGGAACATATGCAGACGATACTGATACGCCAGCGTATTCTCTCTTAGTGAAGTGCGCAAAGCCTTACATAAGCATATCAATTTATAGAGAGTGCTACTTTATTTGGTCGTTATAAAAGGAGCGAGCAAGATCTGAGAGTCAGAGATATCGTAGAGATCTTACAGAGATGTTGTTGACTGAGTTAAATTCAAGTTGTTGTTAATCTCGGATACAGAGTTTCAGTTTACAACACACAGAGATTCGTGAAGTCATTGTTAAAATAATCTTCCGAGAGAGCCGCTGTTTATTACCTTTTGTTACATAAATACGTAAAATATCCGAGCAGCCAAACATTTTCGCAAAACTATACCATGATTCTTTGACATCCTTTTTTAGTGTTGTAAAAAAGTCTCCTTACTGAATATTTTCCAGAGCTGTTACTGCAAGTAAAATTTCACTCCTATTGTTACAACGACTTTATAAAAACGAAAACAATTTTTATTTTTGAACAACGAACGAACTACATTGAAAGATCTATTAATTATCGGTGAAAAAACGATGAATAAGTAATTCAATGAAAGTGATACCTTTTTCATGCCCTTTGTAATTCCTATGCCGATTTAAACCTTTTACGCAAACGGACATTCCATATCCACTAACACTGTCATTATTTTGTTTGAAACATCTGTATTTTATTTACGTAGAAAACCAACATTAGAAGGGAGCAAAACGCCCCCCATATTTGAATTATTCCAAGTATTCTCAGCTGTTTTGCAGATGAACAAAGACATTAGTGCTAGCATGCCCAGGTCTCAAACATCCACATAGTCATTTGACAATCCTATCACTTTCTTTGGCGACAAATGTAAACACCCTTTTTCTTTAAGAAATAGTCTGTGGCTTGTGCTAGTCATACACCCGTATCCTGTACCTAAGTCAAAATGAACCGAGTTTTACTCCTTATTCTCCTGGGCTGTATTCATCTTGTAGCATCTGAGTATGTCAGAGTATGTTACTATACCAACTGGTCCCAGTATCGACCCAAAGGTGGAACCTTCTGGCCTGAAGACATCGATCCTTTCCTCTGTACTCACGTGATTCACTCGTTTGCAAAAGTCAGTCGTACCACACATAAAATGGAGATCTATGAAGAAAACGACCATGATCTTTACAACAGAATCAACGCACTAAAGAAAGTCAACCCAAAGCTGAAGACACAAATTGCTGTTGGTGGGTGGACTCACGAAGAAAAAGACAGCCCATTCTCCAAGATGGTGGCAACGAAAGAGAAACGAGCGATCTTCATCAAGTCATCCATTGACACCCTGAGGAAGTTTGGATTCGATGGTTTGGATCTAGACTGGGAGTATCCAGGCATGCGTGGTGGCTCTCCCAAGAGTGACAAAGGACGATTCACTCTCCTGTGCAATGAACTGAGAGCTGCATTCGAGGCTGAAGCCAAGGGGTCAGGAAAGGAACGCTTGTTGTTAACAGCCGCAGTAGCAGCAGGACTCTGGACCATCAAAGGAGCATACGATATCGAGGGGATATCGAAGCCACTAGACTGGATCAACGTCATGACCTACGACCTTCACGGTACTTGGGAACCTAAGACTGGTCACCACACCGCTATGGGACCTGAGGGAGATAAACTCACGCTTCCTTTTGCAATCTGGTACTGGATGAACAACAGAGACACCTGGGAGAAGCCGGGTATCCGGAATGGCATGCCCGCTAACAAGATTGTCCTGGGCTTAGGGACATACGGACGCGCGTTTGGCCTCGCAAACCCAGGGAACAATGGTCTTGGAGTCGGTCGAGACTTTACGTATACGCCCAAGGGGAAGTACACTGGTGCTGAAGGGTTCCTGGCGTACTTTGAGATTTGTAAGATGGGTCTCACCGTGGTGGAAAACAACGCAGCCAAGGCGCCATATGGCTATAAAGGAAAGGACTGGGTGGGATTTGATAATCCCAAGAGTTTGATTTACAAGATCGATAATGTGGTGAAGAAGAATTCTCTCCGCGGTGTTATGTTCTGGGCCATCGACCTGGACGACTTCTCAGGACAGCATTGCGGACAAGGCAAGTACCCACTGATGAATGCCGTTAAGGATTACCTCACATCCGGAGTGCAGCCAACATTTCCCCCAGGAACCGAACCCCCGGTGACAGACAGCCCAGTCACAAAACCCCCTAAACCGGGGACAACCATGGCTCCTCCTAAACCTACTACCAGCGGTGGAGGTGGTGGCTCTGGGGCATGTAAGGCGACAGGTGCATGGGCGGGAAATGCTAACATGGATGCATGGTGCGTTGCCAACTGTGCGGTTGGTAACTGCCCACCAAACATGTGCGTCTGTTAGAGGGTTCAACATGCCTGATTCAATGCATGTAGTATAGAATCTTATGCTGTAAGGCTGTAGAGAACCTGGAGACTGAAACATGCAGTCATAATAAAATGAAAGAGTTAACGAAATGAAGTTACCTTAGTCTCTCTTTGTTTTCCCTACATGCCTGAATTCTCGATAAATAGGCCTCAACCTTTTTTGTTCAAATGGCTTTTTTGGTTGAATTGGTCTCGTTTGAATTATCCTGGTAGGAACTCATTATTCGAAAGGAGTTCTGCGTCAAAAAATGATTGGAATCGGGCTGGACCTATCATCTCAAAACTTTGAGTGCACATAAAAGCACTGCATGGTGAATTGAAGATTATCTTTATATACTTCATCAATTTAGTGCAAAGCACGCAAACGTGTCATCGGTGGTAAAAAGTAATCCACGTTATTGCAAATTTGAACGCGAATCGTACCTTTTAAGGAATCGTAACTTTCACACTTTCCGCTCCATGAACTTCTTTCATGCAAAAGACGAACTCTCTTTGGCCACGAATTTAAAAATCAACTCTGGTCTCCTTTTCTTAGACAAAACTTATGCCTACAGTGTAAACATACAGTCGAACCTGCCCTTACAGAGACCTCCATAATACGGAGAACCCCTTGTAATGAACCCTTCACTTACTCCCGCTGAAACCAAAATTCATTAAATGGCTACCTCTATAACACGGCCACCTCCACAATTCGGACACTCAGGTGGTCTAACAAACACGTGACGTAAGGACAGTTTCAGGAGAGTAGATTTGCTGCTCTGACTATTTCTAAGAGACTGGGAAAGGCTCTTTCGACACTTGGGTCCAGTCTCCTATGAAGATTTTTCCAATATGGCGGCTAGTGCGGCTCAAACACGTGTGAAAGAAGAAGTCGAGAGATCAATAGAAAAACTTGAAAAAGAACAGCTGAGAGGGCTTCAGGTCAGTAAGAAATCAGCTGGTGCTTTTGTTACATAAAATTGTAGTGAAAAATCAACTGTTTTCTGGGATATAGGAAATATTAAGTGTAATGTCCTCGAGCTAAAAGATGATTGCAAATGCTCACTTGACACGGCCGTACTATCTGAAAAAGTCTTCTTTTACGTTGATTTATTTTTTTAACACATAACCCCTTACGGGATATTCAAATAAATAAATAAATCAGAATAAATTAAATGTTGTTACCAAGTGCTTGGGTTCGCCCTGCTTGAGTGGAAATTTAGTCATTTGAGTACCCTAGCTATCAAACATTGCATGCGTTTCAACTGAATATAACATCGCATGACATTGTTTAGCAAAATTTTGTTCTCCTTTCAATAAGATGATCTAAAAGTATTTATAATCCATACAGTTTTTGATGCAAATGCTGATGTGTTTCTGGACAGGGTATGGTATTTAGGGTCTTTTGTTTTGAACATCTATAAATTCTGACAGTGTCTAGGATGCGAGCAGTCTCTCTGCCAGGATTCACAGGAAGAATGCTTGCAGGAGGCCCTGTTAGCGGGGGTCTTTATGTCCCTCATCTGAGTTTCAAACCTTTTCATGTCGCAATTTCAGAAGGTTCGCATGTCGCTGTCAGAATTTTGTCCAAAGCCACTGTTATCGATATCAGAAAATGTTTAAAGGCTGATACATATGAAGGGTTTTGCTTCAGGAGCATGCTCCAGGGTCAATTTGCACAACTGGTATACACTGGGGAGCATGCTCCATGTTATGGTACACATGAGGGAGCGTTTTCAAGTTTGTTCAATTTACCTCGGGATCTTGCTTCCAAATATTTAACCAGTTTAATGTTGTGGAGCATTTTGCAGGATGGAAATTCTGCCCCCGAGAATGAATTATGCCCATGAAGTTGTTGGTACACACGGGGGAGCTAGGCTCCTGGAGCGTGTCCCAGGAGCAAAAACCCCTGTGTGTATCAGCCTTAAGTATAGAATATGTAACATAAATGCATTCTCATAATTTTGTTCCCGAAGCATTCTATTTTTGGTTGATTATCAACCAAACTTTGATAGCCTTGCAAAGAGCGACATGCATGGGAATACAAAGAGAAAACACCCAGAAAATATACTTTTTGATCTCTGTTTAAGCTCGACCATGTTAATGTGTTTCTTTCGTGGCATTTTTTTTTCTAAATTTCTAAGCACTTGATGGCTATAATCTTTTGTGTGAACCTATTTTGATATGAATGCACGTGTTCTATTTATAAAATTTACAAGTCATGCTAAAACTTGGTGCGTATTTTTTGCTTTTGGTCCCTTGCCCTTTCTTTGCATAGAAAAACAGCACTAGGATATATAGGATATCTGCGATGTAAAGAAGCAACATACTGTACTTGCAAACAATTCTAACCAAACAGCTGGGCCCAGCGTTACAATATGTGGTCAGTAAGCAACATACTCATAGAACTATCGTTCAAAAGTACCTCAGTAATAGACTCTCAATACTCGCAGAAAGTTTAACTTTGTTGTAAAATGCAAATTCTTTTGCCCAAATGCGCTGCAGGTCGCTGGCTAATTTTTAAAACGCCATAGGTGCTGTTGATTTTACTTTTCTCTTTGTTGTCTTTCTTAATTTTGCGTGAGCGGCTCATCGTATGTCGCCATTTCAGCTCCTTCGTGTCACCATTTCAGAGCGGTGTCGCCTGTCAGAATTAACCCTAACAGGGCCTCTGGCAGAGCTGAGCCTAGTCGCAGGCTATTTAGTTTCTTAAACAGGGTGTTGGAGTATTTTGCCCAGAAATCTTGCACAGGGTCTGTGTGCAGTCAGTCATTAAACTGGGACACAAAATTAAGTGTCCTGTCTTGATAAAGGGATATGAGTCTGAGTTTGAAGGCCTCGGCACCACAGCCCCACTCAAGGCCTCAGGCCTTTGCTCTGCTGTTTATTAAGGAGGGAAAGCTTTTTATTTTTAGAGTAATGGTTCTTGCTGTGGAGAGTCACATTTGATTCAGAACACTGAATCTTTCTTTAATATATCATGAACTTGGGTGCCTGTGGCAAGTTAAGAATTAAAAGTCTTTGATTGCTTCTAATCAACATAGATTTCCCAAAAGCCTCTATGCTTTCTGGGCCAGCTAATGTTCACTCTACACTTGTAAAGCTGGACTTAAAAGTGATATCTTTCATGATGTAGGGTTTCCTTTTGAAAGCTAATCAGTCCTTGGTCAAAACTGTACTGAATCTTTGTGGTCTTTTGAACAGGCCAAGTCTCACTTGTGTGCCGCCAAATGTTGTGAGAATCTCACTTCTAGTAAAGGGGAAGTTCAACAGTGTATGAACAAGTGTTTTGTGCCAATCCAGCAAATTCAAGAGTACCTTGGTAAAGAACTAACTGGATTTCAGGTAGATATTCTTTTTACCAGTACAGGAATAAAGTTTGGGATTGCATATTGTAAGTAAACAACACTGATTAGTTTCTGAAGTTGTTACATAGTACCCGATTCCAAACCATTTGACCATCAAGTTTTGTTTCATTTGGTGACTTGTCAGGATTACTGCTTCATGTACTCAGTGATGTACAATCTTCATATATAAGCTGCCTAAATGTTGCTTCAAGATATAACACCTGTATGTAAATTATGCCAGATAAAAGCCCATACAATATCTCGTCATTTGGATTGTATATAACTTGATGCCACATTTTATACCATAAATCTACACCTTACCCCCCCCCCCCNCTTACCCCCATTCTACAAACAACATGGTAGTAATGGCATCATGTCCATCATAGCCAGTTTATTCATTCAGTGTTACAACTGATAAGTCTTATATATATGGAGTACCCCTAGGGCTTAGGTTTCTATGACTTTTTATGGTCACCGTGATGTAAGATTGCTCATTGAAAAAAAAAACCATTTGTTTATTATTTGTTTGTTTGTGTTTAGGATCGACTTGGTCGCTGTGCTCAACAATGCCAGGACAAAATTCAGGACAATATGGACCCAAATACAACTCAATCAGAGCTCGCAAAGTATCAAGCTGAGCTGGATTCTTGTGTTGATCAGTGTTGTAAAACACACTTGGAACTTGTTCCTAAAATGTTTGAGAGAATGAGGAAGGTCTTGTCACAAGTACAGGAACCCAGCTCAAGATAGTGCACGGTGATACTTAGGTGGAAGAATTGTTAAATTAATACATAAAAGGAGCTGTGCTGCAAATGGTGCATCTTAAAAAAATTAGCCTCAAGTTTACAATGCTGTCATTTGTAATCCGTAATTTGTTCTTTTTGTTTTCTTACTACCAAGCTCTGATGGTTCTTTTTTTTTTACCTTGGTATTCTTTTGTTTTTCTCAAAGCTTTGCACATCACAAAGATTGCTTGCCATAGCTTGTTCAATCTCCAACTCTGAGTAAAATTTGGTTTATAACACAATCATATGAATATTTCAACAATTTTAAAATGGTTGAACAATAGTGAATGAAAAGATCAACTGATCATCTTAGAAGAAATATCTTGAGTAAAAACTTTATTCTTTGAAGACAATATTAGGAGAAATGTGTGAAAAATTAAAGTAAGCAGTATTCCAATGCTGGCCATGGGATGTAAATGTTAGTAAAGGTGTCTGAATAATATTGAGTTAATATTGGTCTGAACAGACAAAGGAAATCTAGATAAGTGATGTTTTGGGACTTAATAGTTTTTTGTCAACACAGAAATGGAGACTTTTATCTGACCTGAGGCAGCCCCAATGTCCAGACAAGAGATTTCGAGTGAAAACAAAAGTCTACAAGAAATATTTTTTTTCAAGGTCAGGGAAATTTTGAATTTCATTTTGAAGTCACAATTTATGAAGATAGTCGAGCCAGGGAATTAGATTTTAATGTTGCTGCTGGGTTTACTAACAAGTTGTTGATAAAGACTCTTGGTATTATTAATAAAACTAAATGATATGGATTTTATGAAATAGTTTGAAGAGAATTTAAATTGGCTGCTTTTCATTGGATGGGGCTTCTTATAGTAAGGGAAAATTGTTTTATTCATTAATAGTCAGAGGGTGGGAGGCGCATTGGCCTCG